ACAAATGCCTATAGTATATTATTCAATTCGGTTAAAAAACAAAGAGAGAAAGACATAAAAGGAAGCATAATCATATTCATACAAAAAATTTATACAACTTAAAATGAATGATGTACCAGAATTTGAGTAAATTTTTTCAGAAATACACAAAAAGAAATAAATTTTTTTAGAAATTAAGAATAAAACTTTAAATAAGTTAATAGGAGAAAATTTTTACATATATATTTATTCGTGGACTAATTTTATCTATAATGAAATTTATTTAATTATTTTTTTCTATTTAAATGTAAGTTTATCCGATCAGTCCAAATTGAACAGTTCAAATTTGGAGATAAAATAAATTGTAAAAAGTGTCATTAAAAGTTGTTCCAAATATATTATTACTAAATAAAATTCCGAGACATGGGCACACACAAAATGAACTTGAAATTAAGGTGGAGGCAGAAGAGAAGAACTGTGAGATATGATACCTGTTGTTGACCAAAATGATCAAGCAGTCCTATAAGGTCACCTACAAGGTGGTGAAAAGTGTAGGAATTGGGGTCAATAGGAGAATCAGAGTCACCATATCCTCTTAGATCAGGTGCAACCGCATGATAGCCATGCTGGGCCAAGAAATTGAGTTGGTGGCGCCACGCATACCATATTTCTGGGAAGCCATGAAGCAGTAAAACTAGTGGACCTGTCCCTTTCTCTGCCACGTGCATCCATATGCCGTTGGTTTTGATTCTTTGGTGTTTCACTTCACTCATGTTGTCTGAGTGATCCATGATCTTTAAGGATCTGAGTAACGAAAGTTGGAGCTAGTAGCAAAGGATGTTACTTAAGAATGAAGGACAGCCAAAATGAAAAAGTTGTAAGATGTTATTAAATGTCAAAGGTGAAGTCAGAGGACAACTTTGACTTGCTAACCGGAAACATTTTTGTCCATCCTAGGTAGGGTATGTACACAAGACACCAGATAATCAATCTACTAAACATAGCCTCTCTTTTTTTAATTTAATTTTTTTTATCAAAGTAGTGTGGTTTTATAAATTATTTTCTCATTTAGAATTGTTTCTAAACAATTTTTTTTTTTAAAAAAGACACAAGTCAAATATGCGTTTTTCCTATCATGTAGGTTTTTTTTCTTCAATTTTTAATCAACATCTTTTCACGTGTGTGCTACATCGAAAACACATAAGTTTTATGCTTTTTCTCTTGTTGCAAAATTGTTCTGCATTTTCCACTTGACACAAGTGGGTCGCTTTTCTTTTTAATGTTTTCTTTAGTTCATTTATACCTTTTCTACCACACAACACCACCTGTCACAGCAGGATTAAGGCAGGGAAGACATAGATCAATTATGCTTCTTCCATCACAAACCGCCACATATGAGGCTTTGATTGGTCATGATTATGAGTTGTATTTTATGATGGACTAATTGCAACAAGTTCAAGAGGAACCCTTGACAAGATTATGTTTGTAGTGAAAAAGTGACACTTAAAATGGGGTTGAACAGTGTTTCAAACTTGTATAAATAAAAATTTGAAGATATATGAAAGGAGTACAGTCGTGATGGATGAGACAAAAATAAAGAAATAGTTGAAAAAGCTTTTAAGAAGAGAAGATCTACATGAGCAAATTTTATTTTGATTTGTTTCTATTATTAAAATTATGTCCGATTCTTTTTTATTAATAAGTCAAGATTCACTATATGAGTTTTGTTTACAAAATAAGTATTTTTTACCAAGTTATTTTTGACTTTACAAAGTTATGTTAAATATTTTTTTGATACAAAGTCTCGTCAAACATTAACATTTAAGTTTATTTTCAATGATAAGCCTCTACGAACCTTCTCATAGACATAGATAAATGTAATTTGAGTAAAATTTTGTCTTCTACAAAGACAAATAAAGAGTAAGATCAAAAAAAGTTTTTTTTTATGATCTTTTAGCACCTTGTGATACTTTTTTTTTTCACAATAGAAAATCCTGTTATTTATAGTCCTTGAGAAAAGATGGCCATCGGAGTTTCTTTTCTTCATGCTTCATCCACATCTGCTTCTTCTTCCTTTAGAGAAGAACGTTTGAATAATTTGGCTAAGACATTTAATGCACCTTCTCATGTCGTGCCTTATATGATAGTAAAGTGTGCTTATCTTCTTTTTGTATAGTTAGTAACAACTTTCTGTTGCACATATATGATATTTCAAAAGAAAATAGTAAAAACTTGCTTGAATCACTAAAGTGTAGAGAATTTATATATCAAAATGCTCCTTACACTCCCAAAGAGGCAAGCAATGGGTGGTGGGCTCGCACATGTAAGAATGGGCCTTGTGAGCTCGTTGTAGTTCAAATCTGTCAATTTGTCCCACCCCTCCGGCACTCATCCAAAATAAACCTCTCTCTAATCCTTGAGACGACCCTATTGTATCCTGGGGGCTTAGGCATATCCTGCAGATAAGTCATTAAAGTCAGTGCTAACACTTTTTAGAGATTAGATAGACAAAATTGCATAGAAGTAGTTCTTTTTTAGACGAGTTGGGGCAACTTTTATCTTTTTGTAAAGGAAGCTTCCAATGGAAGATGTAGATGAGTTCTCTATTCATTTTGTATGATCCCAAGGTCAATTTTATTTTGTTATAAATTTAGGGAACCAAGACTTACGAGTATCAATTCATTTAAGACATAATAAATATAGTTTATTATGTTTCGTTTGTGACAAAGGAAAACATCTTATGATAACACAAACTTTTACTTAAAGAATACAAAACATTGTTATGTCATAATCAAAACATAATAAAAGGAGAGGGGTGCTAATTCATTTTTTAAACTAACATCTTCCATTTTTTATGATGATAAACATGTTTTTTTAAGTAAGGAGTTTATATCATACAAATGGATCTGAGAGAGTAAAGCTTTTACCTTTTAGTTTAAGTATAGATCATGAGAGACAAAAAATATCCTTATTGCTTTTTAGCAAAACAACCTCTACTTTTATTTATCTATTTATCTAAGTGTGTATGTGTATATATACCTTCTCTTCATTTTTTCTACTTCTGCTCCCTTTATTTTCTTCATCTATTCTAAACATAGGATAAATGTTTATGAAAAAAAAGTATCCAATCACAACATTACTTCGTGTAGTCCAACTTATTTAATGTAATTTTAGAAACTATTTACCGATATAGTGTTCTTTCTAAAAAATTCTCACTTTGGGATGCACAACAGATGAAGACACAAGTCAAATATTTGTCTTTCTTCTCACATAGATATTTTTTTTTTCCGTTCTTTTCAATTTTTAAGCAACATCCTTCCATGTGTGCATCAAGTGAAAAATACAAAAATATTTTGCATTTTCACCTAACCTAGAATTATTATGTGTTTACCACGTGAGGCACACATGAGATTTTTTTTATTTTATTTTTTTATTTTTTTTTATTGTTTATGTAGTTTTATTTTGCTTCTTCCACCACACAACACCATATGTCACACTAAAATTATGAAAAGAAAGACTGCAAGTTAGTTTCGCTTCTTCCACCATATATTGCCACGTGTCCAAATTTTTGTGGTTATATTTGATTAAATTTATAATTAATTAAGTAAAACATTTATTAAAAATGTAATCAAATTACAATTAATTTATTTTCTATAACTACAAATAATTAATTAGTATATTGCAATTAATTTAATTTCTATAATCTCACTTGGACAAATAATTAGAAAAAAAATTAAATGGGCTTAATAAAATTAAATTATATTAACTAATTATCTTAATCAATTTGAATTATTTTTTCCATATATTTCAGTTTGGATTAGAGTTGTGTAGAATATGATTTTATTGAATTTTATAATTTTATTTGGATTTATTTGAAGTTGAAATATTATAGTTTATTCGTATTTTTTTTATCAAAGGAAACTCATATCACTTCATTATTATTAATAACAAAAGCAATACAATGTGGTAATTGTGAATAGATAAATGGACTACCATTTGAAGTAGTTCTCTTAGGCTTTGTTTGGATTTGAGGATGGAAAATGGGGAGTGAAAAAGGAGGGATTTGAAGGGAAAATGAGTGGAAAGTGAAGTTATTTGGATTAAGGGAAAGTGAGTGGAAAGTGTAGAAAAAGTTTGTGAAAGTTTGTGAATGAATTAATTGATGTGATAGATAAAAATAAATTTTTTAATTGATTTTATAAGATTACTATTTTGCCCTTAGGTTAAAAAAAAGTTTATAATTGTTATAATTAAAAGATAAATATAAAAATTTTAACTAAAAAAATAAATATAAAATCTTAATTTAAAAATAATTTAATTTAAATATTTGCTTTAAATTTAATGATAAAATTAATTTAAGATTCTTTTTTAATTTTATTATTAGCAGTTTTATAATACAAATAAATAATATTATTATTTTAATAATTAATAGGGTTTATTTATTAAAAAAATAATAAATAATGATAATAATAATAATAAATATTAGAAAAATAATAAGAATCATAATAAATAATAATGATACTAATTATAATAAATAATAGTAATAATAATAATAATATTTATAATAATAAATAATAATAACAAAATATATTATGATAATTATATTTTCTAACATTATTTTATTAATGTTTATGAAAGTGTTATTATTTTAATTTTATAAACATGTATTACTTTTTTTTTATATATTTCCACTTTTTGATGTCAATATTTAAATAATAGGATTTTCTTAATATAAAAAAAATGTACAATAAATTTTTTGAAAGTTAATTAATAAATTAAAAAAATTGATAAATCATTGATATAAATTAGAATGAGAACATACATTTGTTAATTGTACAAGTTAATTTTTACCAATTAAAAATTAGAAATTTTTAACATTACAAAGTAGATGGGTAATAACATATTTGTAAAATGGAACAGAAAATACAATTCAGTCATCAATTAAGTAAAGAATAATTAAATATGACATAAAATAATAGAAATGAAAAATGTTGCAACTAAATAAAACATATTTAAAAATTTCATATCCAGAACAGCTCGTTCTCAAATCAGAACAACCCGTTCCGGGATTACAAATTAACCCACAACGGCCATGTGTGAAACGGCCCGTTCCCAAAGTGGAACGACCCATTCTAAGTTCGCATATTGCTCATAAAATCCAGTTTTGGAACGAGCCGGTCTCAGTTCGCCTGGAAGCGAAAATGTGCCACCAAAATCGATTATGTGGCATGCATAATCGATTATGCTTCATTCCTACCCTCCCTCGTGCATAAAGAAAAATGAAGCTTACCTACAATTTCACAGTCTCTACATGCATGGGGCATTGGTATTATCTGGTTTTCACAATTCTTACGTGGCTTTCATCTCTTTTCTTCGCAAAAGCGCGAGGAATGGCAACGCGGATTCTCCCGCTTTTCTTCGCTCTTCTTTTCGTGCAAATCAGCGGAAATAATCGTGCACTTTCTTCGCCTTTCGTTCCTCATGAACAGTAAATCAACAGAAACAAACAGGGGCTTAGCAAGAGAATAAGTTACATTAACTTGTCTCCTAACCAACTTTACTCAAAAGTTTGGATAATGGGATAGTAAAACTTTACAATTTCTTATAATAGCATTGACTTCAAAACAATCAAGACCAGAGTGTCGGATGTTGTCAACAACTCTCATACAATCCACCTAAAAAGTGATATGTGTTATGTCTAACTTAGCAGCCCACCTCATAGCTTCTAATAACTCGAGAGTCTCACCCTCTAAAACATCAAGACATGGTGTTCCCCAACAAATTTTGTCAAGCACAAATGAACTAATCTCATCCCAAAAAAATAGCCCCAACTAGTGATATGATTTCTTATATGAAAAAAAATCAACATTACACTTTAAGAACTCGCTTGGTGGTTTTCTCCAACACACTTGACTATCAAATTGAAAGGGATGTTGATTTCTCT